AAAAGCTCTTTGTTTTCATTATCCTTGGATTGGTTTGATTCTGGCAACTTTCACGCGGATTTATCTCGATCTCATCTGTCCATTGATACACGGCTCATAGATAGGCTAAAGAAAGAAATGAATGTGAGAGTAAGCTTATTGTTAGTCAAATCGGTGAAGGAGAAGAGAATGAGTTGAGTGCTTTAGGTTTGTCATGTTTATATGAATTGATTTTGACTGGTCTCATGATTGAAAATAACACATTTCTTGTTAATCTTTTAGTTACTATGTTAAGCTTAAAGTCTTTGATCACTGAATTTCTTGTGGTTGCTTAGCTGTGTCTTAATATTTGTGGATTCTGAAATCTCTTTTTTTTTTTTTTACGGAGATAAATCTTATTATTGCATTTTTGTCTTATGAAATGTATTTTCGAAAATCTAGTAAGGTTTATATGATCACAAATTGTGCAGATGCAGTAACGTTGAGGAGAGAAGAAATTTGTATCCAATTACTCTTTGTCAACATTCAATTTTGGTGACCAACTCTAAAGATAAGGCAATACAACACACAAGTTTGTTAAAGTTTATGATCAGAAATTCTGACAGGAAGTATAGTTGAATAGAGACTTGAGCTTTTTATACAGCATTGTTACTGAGTAACAACCAAATCTTATCTTCTTTCAACCGCATGAGGGTACAAATGTATGTTGTGAAACAAGCATATGTAACTAAATTTCAGTTGATGTTTCTATGCTGGATTCTGTTGTCAACAAAGTCAGGTTAGATTTTGTTTTTTCTTCTTTAAGGTTGTATATGTGTATATGAAAAAAAAAACTTTAGATTTGTCTCTTGACAGAAGTTACTTGGAATAGGAGATTTGCTAATTCTGGTTAATTTCATAAGTCTTCCTCATTTTCCTCGCATCCTCTCTCCTTCCTTAGGACAGATCAATTTGCTGTCGTTTAGCCTCTCTCCTCTCTGTTTTCATTAACTCTCTGTCTCTCATTTTCTTGCCCTTATTAAACCCGAAGAGCTCCTTCTCTCTCCTCATTTTTCTTGAGTACTTCTAAATTTCATAAACCCAAACTT